AAAAAAAGGGCAGGCTGAGCCAGCCAAAAAAAAAAAAATCCTTCTCTATCTAAGAGGAACAAAAAGCGTTCATCCATGCAAAGACTTGACCACAAATGTCCCTGGTTTTAGGAGCCTCATGCTGGAAACCACTTTAAAAGTCCCATCCATGGGGCCAAGGAGATGGCTCAGTAGGATAAGCGCTTGACTGGCAAATGCAAGGATCTGAGTTCAATCCCTGGTTCCGCCACCAAAAAAAAAAAAAGTCCCATCCATAGATGATACAGAAATAAATTATAGGGAACATGCACAATGGAGACTAGCTTGATGCAAAGGAGCTACTGACCTCTGCGGCCACATGGATACGTCTCAGAATAATTAAGCCAGTGAAAGCAATCAGCAAAACAGTGTTTGTACTGTACTTTTTATATACAATTCTTTAAAAAATGCACGGTTGCTTAGAGCAACAGAAAGAGTGGTGGGTTCAGGGGGTTGGAGGTAGTGGGAGGGGCAGAGTACAAAGGGGTCCCGGCGAGATGATATCTGGGTTCTTATCTTGATTGTGGTGATGGTTTCGTGGATATATATATAGTCAAACCACATAGTGCAGGACCTGCGAGATAGCTCAGTGGATTAAGTGCCTGCTTAGGCAAGCACAGGGACCTGGGTTCAATCCCCAGCACCTCACGCTGCAGCAGCCATGTATCTGGGCGCTCTGAGCCGGCCATGGAGACCGAGTGTGGTGGTGTACGTCTGTAATCCCAGTGCTGGTGAGGCTGCAAACAGGAGGATCCCTATGAGTCTGAGCTGCGTAGTGACACCCTGTGCCAAATACATAAAAATAAATAAATAAGTGAATAAAAACCCACACTGTGCAATATGTACAGTTTATTGTATATCCATTATGCCTCAATAAAGCTACTTAGCCCTTTAGCAGTTTAACCCACAGTCACCTGGGCGATGCATTTGTTTACATATTATCCTGAGAATCACCTGGGCAGGTGTCATTTCAACTAGTCAATTCTTGTATTGAATACATTTAATAAAATTGTCATTTTTATATCTTATATTATCTTATAAAACTAGTGAAAAAATATGACCCAATTTTTGATCAGCCTGTATTTAAATAATTAGACTGGGAAATGGTTGAAAAGCTCACAGTACCCAGGCATAGAGAGCTATAGTCCCAGCTACTCAAGTGGCTGAAGCAGGAGAATGGCTTGAGTTGACAAACTGGAGGGCAGCCCAGACAATGGCACGAGATCTGTCTCCCAAATGCCCACAGTGCTCGCCCTCAGGTGGGGCGGGGGGAAGGAAGGCTGCAGACACACAGACAGCAATAGCAAGGGAGGAAGCAGGTCATGTGGGAGGCAGTGGCTGGCAGAGGGTGCCTGGAGTAGGCAGGATGGACGCAAAGGCAGGCAGCAGGGCGTGGGATCAGGGCTGGGCCCTGGCTCAGCTGAGTGATGGGGGGGACACGAAGTTAGAGAGCTGATCTGGGCCAGAACTTTTCCTTAGCTCTCCTCCTTCCTGCCCCATGTCTGTTCTTTGTCCATAAGTCCATCCGTATCTTCTACCCCCTCCTCCAAGCCCACAGTTCTCACCTGTGACCTCCCACAGGAAGGAGCCCTGGAGCTTCTGAAGAAGCTGAACAGCTGTCCAATGTCCATCCAGCTGCTGCAGGTATGGGGGGCTCCTGAGGCAGCATCCCTAGGGAGAGCTAAAGACCCTGGGGGGCTATCCAGCCAGAGTGGCACTTGGGAGGAATTTCCCAGGGGAGTCTTGCGAAGGGAGGGGCGTCTCGTGGTATTGATGTGGAGGGCGAGGTGTCCTGTAGGATCAGGGTACTTGTTTCTGGGCTTGGGGAGCCCTTGGGCCTGAGCAAAGGCCAATTTACTTGCCTTGCCCAGTTCCCAAGGCAGGAATCAAGAGTTCCATGGCCCAGGGAGAAGGAAGTCTCCCCACGTTGAGATCCTCCCCGATTGTCCTCACAGCCCCCTAACTTCAGAGACAGGCCTGGCTCTGAAAGATGAGCACAGGCCCAAGCCATAGAAGCACAAGTTGCCCTAAGGAGAGACTTGAGTTCTGAGTACTGGGAAGGGGGAGGTCCTGTTGGTGCCAGCACCCCATCTGCAACCCCGCTGCTTTTCACCTGAAGAGTTACCTGTTACTATAGTGCTGAGCCATGGGCCTTGGGCTTTCTGCAGGGAGGCAGAGCACAGCCTCAGTGATAGGAAAGCTACAGGCTTGGGGTTGTTCTTCAGCCATGGGTCAGGGAAGGACTCTGGACATGGGCTGCGGGGAGGTGGTGGCCAAGCTGAGCCCGCTCCTGCCAATTAGGGCGGCCAGTCCTGTGTGCCGATTCCCAGGCCAGCCCTTATCCTACTTCTTCACAGAGAACCAGGATTGGGGTTGCTGTTAATGGTGTTCGTAAGCACTGCTCAGACAAGGAAGTGGTGGCCTTGGCTAAAGTCCTCATCAAGAACTGGAAACGGCTACTGGGTGAGACTTGAGACACGTTTTTCTTCCCCCCTAGCATCTGGAAGGGGGCACTGCCTGGCTCATGGCAAGCAGTCAATGTTAAGTAACTTAATAAATGACCGGTGGCCTCTGGCCAGGGTGTTAGCTAGTGAAGACTGCCAGTACTGTGTGCACAAGTGTGATGTGCGTAAACAGACGAGCTCACTGTACATGTACCGGTTGACATTGCTATGTGTGCTCGTGTGTTTGTATGTATGCTGCATGTCTAAATGGGTATACATGTATGGCTCTGTATGTTGGTGTGTGCTAGTGTATTTATGTCCCTGTGAGCATGTGTACTTGCACACACAGGCGTGTGTGTGTGTGTGTGTGTGTGTGTGTGTGTGTGTATTGGGGTATATGCAGCTGTCCACACCCTTTGGTCCCTCCTCTCCAGAGACATGCAGGGTTCTTCTCAGGAGGAGCTGAGTTGAGAGACAGTGTTGCTTTTTTGTGTTCAGAATCCCCAGGATCTTCCAAAAGACAGGAAAGAGAAAAATCAAAGAAAAAGAAAAAGAAAAAGAAGAAGGAGAGAGGGCTTGACTGTTCAGATTGGAAGCCAGAAGCAGCCTTTTCTCCACCCAGGAAGAAACGAGAGGAAGAACCCAAGAACAGGTACTTTTTCTGGGATGGAGTGATGGGGACTGACACTTGTCACAGCCACTGTAGGCAGCTTTGTGGCTGTCATTTCAAGAGACCTCACAGTGCCGGGAGGCAGAGGTTCCAGGTCCTGCAGGCTCCCTCTGAGGGCCTTGGCTCAGCCGGACAACCATGCGAAACCGTATGTGACACCAGATAGAAAGATACAGGGCCACAGCATGGCAGCCTCAGGCCTTGCCAATCCTCAGCAGGTCTCACAGAAAGCCACAGCCAGCCAGGACTGTCGTCTGGGTCACTCAGGCGACAGTCCAGAGGCAGGGAAAACAGACCATACTGAGAGGGAGCCCCAGGTGAGAAGCCCCAGGTCTCACACATGGTGACCGTCCCAGAGAGAAAGTTTCTAGGATCCAGTGAGGGCAATATCCGGCTGGCAAGATCTTCTAACCCGAGGGTGGCTGAAAGCTGTGGTTTTCCACTAATTGTTCGTAGTTCCTTCACACCTTCCCGGCTGAGTCACTGTGCTGTAGTGTAGTTGCCTGGTAACGCAGCCAGCACTCCACATATATTATGAGGCCGGGAATTTATTTGTTCATCAAGAACAGGTGTTCGGTTAATTCTTTACTCAACGTTCCTCTTTAGCCAGGGGGAAGCTGAAAGTCAGAGGAGCAAGGACTTTCCTAAGGTCCAGAGCTATGAAGTGAGTGGATCACACATCTTTGTTGGGCCTCCACCCCCTTGCAGAGTTAGAGGACAGTTGTTTATCTCAACTCTATCCTTGTCCTTCCTTCCCTATTGTAGCCAGGGAGTCCCCCAGAGTCACCTTGGGTAGGGCTCCAATGTCACATCCATCTTGCTACATTAAAGCTTTAATAGGTGTGGATGTAAGTGAGGAAGAAGAATTACTTGAGACCAGGAGTTTGGGGCTAAACTGGACAGCATAGCGAGATGTCTCAAAAAAAAAAAAAAAAAAAAAAAAAGCTGGTAAGTCTTACCTGTTCTCTGTGTGACCAGGTTACTTCATTTCTTGTGAGTTTGCGTTTGTGCATTGTCACAGTTACTTTTGAATCAGTATCGCTACTGATTCAAAATATGAGATGCCCAGTGTTAAAGAAGGAAAGGTTGGGGCCGGGAGATGGCTCAGTAGAATAAGTGCTTCTCTGGCAAGCGCAAGGGCCTGAGTTCAATCCCCGGTTCCGCCAAAAAAAAAAAAAGAAGGAAAGGTTTATTTAGTTCTGTGTGTAGCGGTTTCAGTTTATAATCAGCCGGCTTACTTCAAGGCAGGGTCGTATCACAGAAGAACCGGTTTTTGAGGAGCAGAACGTAGCAAAGCAACACGGGAGGGCCACAGGTCTTTCTGTCCCTTAAATCTTACCCAGGCTGCTTAGGGTGGTAGCACTCACACCCTTTAATCCTAGCGCCCCTGATCCTGTCGGGGCACCATGAGTCAATCCCAGTATATCACACACTCTAGATCCAGCAACCTTTGAAAAAGCCCTGTCTGTGACTGCGTGAGTCTTTAGGGGACATCTAGACACAACAGGGGTGGTACTTGACAGCACCTAACTAAACACACTTACTATACAAGATACTTTGACATTTTCAGTATATCTGTCCTTTGACCCAGGGTATCTACTGTGAGAAAATGATTTAAAGAAATTAATCAGGTGGAAGCAGAAAGGTTGTGGTCGGTGTGAAGCTTTTTTTCTGCTGGTGTTTCTGAAATATCTTAGAAATCTGAGTGTTTGTTTGTGTGTTTTCAAATGCAGGGGCTCAAACCTTGGACCTTGCATTAGCTAAACAGCTGCTCAACCCCTATGAATCTTCTTAAAATATTCATCATAATTATATAAAATGACTGTTTGTGGCCAACACTTTAGGAAATGAAGTTGTGAGAAGTTATCGTCATCAAGGAGGGACATATGTCCCAACCTTCTACTACCATTTGTTTTGTACCAGGAATCAAACTCAGGACCATGTGCTTGCCAGGCAAGCGTTTGTCCCACTGCTATCTCCTCAGCCCTCCCATTTGTTACTGTAAAAGAAATAGCTGGGGTGGCAGAGCGTTGTCCCACAATGAGAACTACAGCCAGCCCTCCAATTCTTGGGCTCCACACCCATGAGCGATATCCATGAATTCAACCAAGTGCAGAGCAAAAGAGTTTGGGAAAAATCTCTACTGAACACACACATTTTTCTTGTCATTACATTCTAAACAATATGGTATATCATGTATTTGCATAGCAGTTACATTATGTTTTATAACTAATCTGGAGATTATTTTTAGAGTCTCTAGGATCAGGGAGATAGCTCA